GCATTATTTTGATTGTGACTCTTTCTAGTTGTCAGTTTTTGTGTGTAAGTGAAGGGTAGCTGGTGATTCCTGGGACTGATTTGGTCATGTGCTGTATATGATAGACTTCAACACATTGTGTGTAAAATGAGTTTATTCATTCTGAATCATCATAATATTATTATATAATAATTCTAAATAATTGAAAGCAAATTAGTTGTTTATCTTCTCCCACTGGGAAAACTTTGTTTTTTAACCTGTCTTCTATGGTAATTTCAGTTTCTATTTAAGAAATGGGCCACATTAAAAAGAGAAAGTGTCCACATTTCACTCCAGGTTTGAATAAATTAGCCGTCCCAAATTACAACCACACCAGCATAATAAAAGAAAAAAAGGTTCATAAAAAGTCACTCTTCTGGTGATGTATGCAGATGAGCTGGAGAAATATGCATAGAAGAAGACCACTGCTGATTTTTTCCACGGAGGTCAAATTACAGAATGGCTGAGGGCAGTGCTCTTTGCTCCCTGCCCACCCATGAGTCTGTCTGCTAACCCCTCCTGCTCTCCTTTAAAAAATATCCTCTATGCTTATTCCAAATGCCATCCTCCCCTGTGTGGCACATTCTCATTTTCTCCAAACTACGTCCTCCTGTCACATGATTTCAGCAACAATTACTTTTGGTATCACCTCTAAGTGTGAAGTTCACTGAAGACTACGTCCCCGGAGGCTTCCTATCTAAACCTATTACAGNTGGACCCACTCGAGAAGCAGAGTGTGGAACATTTAAATAAAGTGCTGAGGACTTTGACAAGTCCTTGCAGCAACCAAAACCAATCGAACCATAGCTGAAAGATGAGAAGAGAAGTGCAGCTGTCTGTTGTCTGGTATTCTGACACATAAAAGATATTTATTTGTCTGTTTATTCATTTATTTTTTTCAATTCATCTGCCATTTCTCAAGTCACTCACCTGGTTGGCTTATCCCTTCTTTCTGCCTTCTTCCATCTAGTTCTTACCCTAAGGCTTCAGACCCAACCCCACGGGGGTCATGCATGGGTACGTGACCCTCCTCCTCCCCCAGTGACATGCAGACACAAATCTGAGCTCTGCAGCTGAGGTAGGTCAACATCAAAATGTGTGAGGAACGATTGAGGCAGCTAATTTAACAATCACATCTATGTGAGTGTGTGTGTGTGTTTGTGTGTACCAGTGAGTCTTAGGGTGCATGCAATCTTGTGCAATCTCCTTGCCCCAGGTCACACATATGTACTTAAGCACCTACGTGCTGAATCAGCCACCCATCTCCCTGATTGATGATCTGAGTGGCTGCGTCTCGTAAAACTCTCGTCTCACCGCACACCTGGGATCCTTACGCAACCCAAGGTGGGCCTGAGTCTCGCAAGTGGCAGCGAGAATAAAAACAATTGAAGTTCTGTCGGGACGAACACGTGCATATGGTAAACTGGTATTTGACTCGTTTTACAATTGATATAAAAGTGGTTTCAAAACCATCATCCAGCCATTAAGCCATTTAGTTTACGGTTGATGTGGAATTAAAGAAGAAACCAAGGAGATCAGCCCCGACCAGGAAGACCCCCACGTTGAGCACTCAGCGTCCAGCTGCTGCTAAAAGCCCTTTCAATCAGACTGTCAGGTGGCTACAAAGCTGCCACACAACAGCGTTACAGCAGATTGATGGAGGTGCTTGTAGGTGCTGGGAGCAACAGTCGCAGCAACTGTGTAGACAATGTTCCAAACAGTGACAACCACCACAGAGAACACGTGGGTGGAAGAGTTTCACTCTGCACAGGCCTCGTGCTCATCTGCTGGGGTTTTCATGAGGTCATTGCCGTTCCCAGTCCTCTTATTGCCCAAGTTTGCCTTTAAATGGTTGTTTTATTTGACATCAGGTCCTATTTTGTTGTTGCCTTATCTGCTTATGGTATGTTAAATGTGGAAGAATTAGGATAAGACATCAATAAATATACATGGCAAATGTGTGCTTTTTAGGTTAAGGTTGTTTTGGGTACTATAGAGTTTTTGTTTGTTATGTGGGGTAGAAGGTCAGATAAGTTACTTGGTAAAAAAAAGGGTTAAATGATTGCGGCTGTCCCTCATTGTCCCACTCAAACCTGCTACTTGTCGGTTTGGAGGTGGTCACCCTGTCTGTACGTCGTGTTAGAGGAACGTATGGCAGTTTAATGCTGCACCACGTGGAGCTGAGGGTTGAACTGAATCAGTCAGGGAGATGAGGCTGGTCGTTTCTCTGCAGGAGCACGGTGATGTGAGCAGAGTGTCAGGCCGTCCTCTAGACTTCTTAAACCTGAGGTGACAAAGGTGTGGGGACATTATGTGACCGTGGCTCAGACTGGTTCAATCAGTCTCCTTATTATTATTATTAGCTACTGGCTTCCCACAGGGCACACACTGCCCCCGATGCACTGCACATGTTAGCTCCCATGTGATAACCCGGCTAACACAGTAACAGTAAAGATGTTACTCCAAGTGAAATGTTTAAAAAACATTGTATTTTTATGCAATGTAAGTATGGCAACTAAAATGTATTAAAATGCATATGAAATGGCCAAACATAAAGTAACATGATTAGTATATTGATCAAGAAATATTTTTGGTGTGCACTGATTCAGGAGTCAAATAGCACACAACAAAAAACATTCAGCATGATTAAATGGACGCTGTTATATTATCCAGTGATTGGGACATTTATTGAAGCTCTATTATAATTTTGTTTTTTATATTAATAAATCAATACGCAGAGCACAAAATTTGTCTTCAATTTGGTCATTAAATCTAGATGATGGCCTTTCTACAGTGACCTTTGACCTTTTTGTCACCAGGTGGTTGACTACAGTGCACTTTGATTTGGTTGCTGTAGGGCAGGAACACAGCTAGTAAAATGGGGGGGAGTGGGGGTCTCAGTGTGTCAGTGCAGGGCAAAGATTTACCCACTCTGCCCTCAGAAGCTGGTGGGGAGTTCACCGCTAATTAGTGCTTCTGTGAGGGTCACCTGCTGTGACCACATGGGTAGAAGTATGACTAAAAGAGTGGGTCACTCAAGTGTTGTTTTGATTCTATAACATCAGACACAGGAACTCATATTTTAAAAGATATAAATACATTCTTAGCATCAAAAAAATCAAATCAAATCACTGTTTCTCTAACATTTAGAAACCTTAAACACGTCAATAATGTTGCTCCTATTTAGAAATGTACATTACACTTAAAGATGCCACAGGCAGTGTGAATAATGAAGCTAATTTGAATTTAACTTTGATTACCAAGACGTAACAACTATTTTTGACCATGAAACTCTGTAAACACATCGTGTCTCCCTGCAGCTTCGGTGGGCAGTGATTAATCATTTCCACATCAGGAATACCAAAAAAAAAAAAGTCTGATGTTGCACATTTGAACAGAATTCCATCTGAATGCTAACATGAGCCAGAGGACAAAGGCCTCTTTAATGAAAGACCAGGCCATAAACTGCCTCATACAGTCACAAGGCTCTCACAAACCACTGCGAGGTGTTTTTATCTGCCGCATCTTTGAAACACTTGACACGTGCACACGCACACGCACAGACGCAGGAAACAACCTTTTGGAAGATAAATACCAACAGCTCTGTTCTCAGGGGGAAAAAAACTGAACTCAGGAGTCAGTGGAAGTCTAAATGGCTCTGATTTAGGAGCGCAGATCCAATGTCAAATCATAAAATATGTGCACAGAGATTTAGTGATAAAGACGAACAGAAGGTTCAAGGTTCAGTACAAGTTGAGGAAAAATATATTAAATTTCATAGGAAAATATTTAACAATATATTTAATATAATGAATAAATTAATATAATATCTTAATTGAAGGTTGATTAGGGTATTTGTAGTGATCATTCATAGAGCAAAATATTCCTCATAACTGGAAAAAGAAATCCAAGGAATCATAGCAGAGCATGTGTTGAAATGAAAATGATAATTAAGACAAGATAATTATGTTAAGCTCCTGATTAAGCTTAAGTTTTTCTAAATTAATTTGTTTTTTTTCACCCCCAGAATATTATATACAAACTTATATACTTCTCTTTCGTGAATGTATTCTTTGGGTTATATACTCTCTATAGGCAAACATCTTTTTCCAACAGATTCTGGCCAAATGATTCCTTTTCTAGTACATCTTCCCCAGGTTTCCCTAAGCAGAAGGACAGAGCAGTCAGAGGTGGAATATTTTTAGCATTAGCAGCATATCATTGGTTTGTGCTACGGCTCGTTAAATAGGTCAGATCCCAACAGGGTCGTGACGACGACCTTTGTACTTTAAGGTTTTCTGAAGTTATTATTCTGAGTAAATAATGTAAAGTTGATTTTTAGAGATGTTACTGTTATAAACCCTTGATTGGAACACAGGCCTTGTCTTAGTTATATTGACTCAACTGTATGTTTGCGACTTATAGTTGCACATTTCAGACTTTTATTTATTATATCAATTTAAAGGCAAGTCTGCATTTGGAATTAATGGGTCTTTCATTGATTTCAAAAGCAAACATTCAAACAGATACATACAGTAAGGCTTTATGAAGCATGGATCATTGTTCACAAGTCATAAAAGACCCCTGTGCCTCTGGCAACCTTTCTCCCCCTCTCCCTCCTTCTCCCTCCGCAGAATCCCCGGGGCAGCACAAGAGTTGAAATGACACACAGTGGCTGACTGTCGCCCACGGGGCCAGCATTCAGGCCTTGGCTGGCTGGGTCTGTGCGGCAGCTGGTAAGCCCGCTACCCTGTTTCTGGCCTGCAGCATCAACAGTGGTGGTAGTGGCACTGATTGGAGCCTGACTCTGATCTCTGACTGGGGCTGACGCTCAACTGCTCGCCGCTGCCCACACGACTGGTTGTACAGTGGAACATGGAGCAGGTATTCAATCAGGACACACAGCGAACTGAACTAACAGATCTATGGTGGTCTGAAGTGATTGACAGGATCAGACACAGGGCAAGAAGACACCAGCCAAATGGGTTTGGTTGTTGAACCAGCAACCACATTTATTTGAGGAGACAGTTGTGAGAAAATGCATTGACCTGGTACAAAGCGACAGTCACTCAGACACGATGTTCAGCTAGTTGTACAACATCTGCTCGAATTTCCTAAGAACCTGTAATACTTGTAAAACACTAATGGCTCAGATTAGACTTTTTTTCATTTATTATTCATAAATAGACACACCTTTTAAACACACATGCAACACTTTTCTTCCCTTTACTGTGACATGAACAGCCCTTGCACAAACATGTTTAAGGCTTTCGGCAGTTGCAAAACAAGGTTAGAAAAAACACCCTTAAAACTTTCACATCATTGTTCCCACAGCACTGGTAAAGGGTTAAGACACAAATCCTCACATGGTTGCTGTGAAATGACCATTTTGATTATTTTGTCAAACTAATAATTTAACTGTTTGCTAAACAATTTTTAATTCCTTAGATTTTAGTCATGTGACCAGGAGATGATATAATGACAGGAATCACACGTCTAAGAGATGTAGCAACTTTAAAAGACATGGTGACAATTTGGACTGAAGTTGTTCTGATGACCGTGGTCTTAGTGCCTGGAGGGGTAAATTCTGTTCTTGAGCACAACTACTGGAGGAAGGTGGCGTCTGACACCGGGGTAATGTTGAATGTGGTCAAACCATCGTGTCACATTCATGAACTGCTCCTTCTCCTGCATGGCTAAGTCCAGCTGTTTGGAGATATGGCAGAAACAAAGGTGAGACTTTTAGTCAAAGTTAATTTACAACACATTTTACAGTTACAGCTTTGAGGCATGTAAGTTAATGTCTCTAAAAACGAAGTTGTGCTAACTGATCTAGATGTACAACATCACAGCAGACTGAAGTCTAGCCTTCAGCGAATCAGTCAAATGAACGTCAGAGGAGACTGTTGTTGAAGGGATGACCTAAGTGACCCCTGCTCCCTGAAGTTGAAAACATTTTGATTCAAACCAAAGTGACGCCCTCTCTGCCACAACCTCTGACAAGTCTCACCATGTGATGTCTCCCTTTTTCCTTCCCTCCCTCCATCTCACTCTGTATACACTTTTTCTGAACTCACTTCTTGTTATAAATCCCATGAGGCATAAAAACCTGCCGGCCCCCGTGTGGGGCTGACCACCCTACGTTGTGACACTTCACTTCTGTGATCTGTGTGTTTATTTCTAACGTGTTCTTGTTGCCCTTTAGCCATGTGATCTGGTCTAATTGTGTGTTATGCACTGTGACAAATTATTTATTGAAGTTGTGGTTTGAATGAAGTGAGCAGTGATGCAGACAGGATGGAGGGATCAAGAGAGGCATTGAAATTCATCCCCGATTATAAAATCGCAAGCCTTAAAATCGGTTTCATTAAAATATTTCTTTGGAGTGTTTCTGTAATGTTTCGTGACATCTGTTACAACAGCAGAAAGAAGAAAGGGTTTAGATTTATGAAAAGCTCCTCAGAAAATCTCATGTTTCATTTCCTTCTTTTCTATAATCATTTAATTTTGTTCTTCTTTACCTTATTTCAGATATCTTCAGCTGTCAAACTATCTTTAAACTTTTGGTATTTTTTAATGTATGATCTCTTAGTGTGACTACTGTTTAAAATCTCAGCAAAAACCTGCTCAATTGGAGTGTGTAAAAAGACAAATGAAGGTGTAACTTACGATGATGGGATGGATTCCGTAGTACATGAGAATATCAGCCAAAGTGAACTGGTTTTCGGCCATAAAGGTTTTGTCTTGCAGATACAGGTTGAGATCCTAAACAGAGAGAATTAAAAAAAAACCAAAACAACAACATAAAATCAGTTTGTATAAAGCATGTTATTATACTGGTTATGGTTGCTGTATTTTCTATTTAACCCAAACTACACCATCCTTCCTTGTCCATACTATATATAATTGGAGGTCATTTAACCTTCAACATTGATTGCAACCTAAACCATAAATACATGGTCTATTGTGGTGGGACTCATACCAAGAGTTTTCTGATGCACTTTTAGGTGAATGTCCCACATTTCAGTTTGCATGTGTATCTGCTGTGCTATGTGAATAGGAAAATAACACATCCTGAGGGGTTATGACTGGCAACTTAGTACAGATGTGTTTAAAAAAAAAAAAAAAGCCCTTTTCTTTTTCTGTACAGCTCTTGCCAGCAAATGCGATGAAGCTGTCCTAAACTTGGACAGCACTGTCTGTGCTTTTCACAGTTCAAGTCAGTGTGTTCAAAGTCGTGCGTGAAGAGCTGGTCCCATGGGACACGACCATCTTTAGCACTTGTACATTGTGCAAAGGAAACACGCCACGCACGCAGAACGTCTTGGAGGCAAATTGAGTTATTGTGCGGCAAGAGTGGGTGATGCCAAACAAGGCATGAAGACTGCAGACTTCCTCCTCTTCTACTATCAGATCCTTGCTTTTCTTAGCCTGCGGCTACGGAGCTGAAGCCCAGTCAAGCATCAGAGGAGAGGCTGCCTCGCTGCCACCCCCCACCCACCACAGGGAGATCCAAACCTGAGTTCTTCTTTGTCTGTCCCCACCTGAAATCTACATTCTCTATTATTGGATATTTCCTGTTTATAGATATATCTGTGCAGACATTTCTTGGCCATTAAATCATCTATTCTAAGGACAGAAGGGAAAGAAATGAAGACAATTTAAAGAGTGAATTTGGTTAAGGTGGGTAAGATTTAAGCAAACTTTGAAATCAGGTCAAAAAAGGAAAAGGAACCCCCCCCCAAAAAAAAAAATCTAAATTACATCATAGGGCAAGAAAGTGCTCTGGACTCCTGCATTTGACAGTTTATCTCTCAGTGTATAATAATCTAATGAAATATGACTGTTTGAAAGCTGGAGTTTAAGCAGCAGGACAGGACAGAAGGGCTGCGCTGCTCTGGGCAACTTCCTTATCTAAGTGGCACCATTAAAATATTTAGGAGACCTGTCCAGAAACATGCAATTGAACAGCATGACTCCTCGCCTGTGAAACATCACTGTGTTCAGACGACATACACACACAACACACTCTTCGTGCTGACAGAACTGTGCCAAGAGGCGCCAAGCATCTGACAGACTAACGGCTGACAATGCACTTCATGCTGACTGGCATCAGACATATTAAAACATTTTTCTCTGTCTTGTGGGCCTGTGTCACTGGACAACACATCAGTCTGGAGTCCTGTGACTTGTGCCTTGTCAAGACCATTATGTACACACGTGCAAACAAGAGTAAAGATCATGTGTGTGAAAGAAAGAGTATACTTCATTATGACTTAACTTTAAGATCCAACTGAGGCAATCTCACAAACAATTGATATTTTTTAAGAGACTTCATCAAATATTAGATCTGCTACCTTCAGGATGGTCCTGATGTCATCTTTATTGTAGTTGTTAAGCTTTGTGACCCTGTACTCCAGCCACTGCTGCACCACAGCCCTGCTTTCTGCAGAGTCGCCCAACAACTCAGATCGCTTCGCCTCTTTGACTAGGTTACAGGCTATCGTAATTAACCCCACCAGTGGAGGTCCATCGCTGCTCTGTAGCACAGGTACCTGAAGAGAGAAAAAAGGACATATAAGGCATATATCAAAACTATGTAACTATAAACTACCATAACCATGTTAAAAAATAGTCCTGGCAAAGCCCTTATGTTCATTATAACCCCCAAATAAGCATCACCTATTTATGTTCTATTATATAATCATTACAAATTTAAGTTACTGAGAGGGTTTAGTTACAGGCTTACTCATCACTGGTAATATACAGTGAAAATAATCCAAATTTCATGCAAAGAAAAAAAATAAACAGACTAAATATATATTAAATATAGAATGATTTTTAAAGCATAAATATATTTTAAATAAATCACTGCATACTTAATTTAGAAGTACATCGTTAAAATAAAGCATGCAATATTGCATATTACTCAGAAGTAATGGGGGGGATTCCCATTTTTTCACGAGAACAAATTGCCAAATAACCAATTGTTTTTTATAAAAGAAACACACTAATTGTGAAAAAAAATACCAATTAGTTTTAATATAAAACCCCAAACCAAATAACCAATTGTTTCTTATAAAAGAAACACACTAATTGTGACCAATTAGTTTTAATATAAAACCCCAACGGTGACACATTATAAAGGCATACGTTATATCCCTGATTGTGTCGTACATAAAGCATCTACAAAGCAATGAGCTGCTTTCATTTTATTGCGTGCAACGAAAGCAGCTCTTTATAAGTCTATATAGACAACTCCAATAACACACTTTAGTAATAGAGAGCAGAAGTAACTATTGTTTTGCCACGAGGGGTTAAGAATCGAAAGAACAGCCATTTTTAAACGTTCATGGGTTAGCCTGTTAGCCTTGCCATGCTACTAACGTGTCATCATCTTTAATAAAACACTTTAAAGTCCCTTGCTGTGAACGACAGCAGTCACTCACATCACCTTTTTATCTCCTTGGGTACTGTATTTGTTCGGCTTTTTAAGCTCTAAAAATTTCTCCAGCGACGAAAGCTCCCGTAAAGCCATGTTTCTTATTGACACAGGCGAGTTTTTTCCCCAACCCAGCTGAAGAAAGACAACCTATGATTGGTTTAGGATTACATACGTCTCCTATTTCTGACCAATTGCCTTTCCGCATCTCTCCTACGTAATCAAAACCAAATCGGGTAAGGGGAGGGCACAATATGCATCCTGATTGGTTAAACCCAACACACACCCATCAGAGAACTCTAAACCAATTAAAACACGCAATTGGAATAAAATAAAATAAAATAAAAATAAAATAGACACACACATATATATACACACAGACATGGAGAAAATAATAATGTTCACTTACCCACATTATTGTCTCAGCTTACTGTACTTTAAACACATGTTGCACAATGCTGGCATTATTGTTACAAACTGCTGGGTGCTGTGATACTTCGGGAGCTAAAGTAACTTACATATGTGTAATAACTATAACATAATTATATCTTTTTTTCTCAATATCCAGAACAAAATATATGTATCATGGAACTTTGCTTTATCTACAGAAACAATGCAAAATACATTTATTATATAAGGGCAGACAATAAAATAAAATAAATAAAATAACAGATAGCATTTTGACAGAGACAATTTGGTAAAGTAATGCTGTCCCAGAGAAAAAGAAATCATAAGTTTGGCTGTGCATTAAATCAAACATCATAGTAATAAAGACAAAACTATATGACGTAAAATCTTTCAGTTGTGCTGTTTGTTCAGATGTAGGCACTGGCACATCACACACATTTACTCAAGAGGGCACTTCTATGTACGCTTGCAGCATTTTAGTGTGTCTGCCTTAAGTAAATGCCTCTAAGATGCCACATCCTGTCTGGACTCAGGCAGGCTGAAGACAGCGATCCCCAGTGCCCGGGACTAACTGTAGCCTTTGGGAGTTTTCTTATGCCGATTGTGATACACAATCTGGGGTCACATTAGTAAGAAGATCTCCAGTGGGGGTCACTAACAATGCCGTGGGGCTTCCCGAGGCAGTGATAAAGCAGCCTCAGTCCTGTTACATATACTGTCTCCTCTTCAGCGTACAACAGTATGCAGCTTACAATATGCTGTTACACTGATTTGTCTAGCTCTGATGTAGGGTCATGGCCCCGCCTGTCGTCTCTACTACCTTTCATGACCTGTGAGAGCTGAATGAGTGCTGTATTTAAACCACACAGATGCTCACTGAAGGAGACGATGGTATTGGCTGTGAGTGGTCAGTATGAGAGCTGTCAGCACAGATTGGTGAAATTACACTTACGTACAGTATGTGCAGGTCACATGCCCAGTGTACAGTGAATATGAGGGTCAGGGGAGGGGCAGATAGTGAGATGACAGATGCAGAAATTGTACATGTGCTGCATGTACCTTTACTGTAGATCAAAGCTGCCCAAAGTGGGGCCCATTGGCCAACAGTGGTCTAGAATAATGCAAAAGTGGGCCCACTGGGAAAAAACAAACAAACGAACACCTTGTAAATATATCAATTATAATGCATATGAATCCATCTATCCATTTTAAATCCGTTCCGCAGAATTTTCGCTATATCGCGGTATTTTACGGTATTTTTTTCTTCTCTCTCCTAGGAGAAGCTTAATTACTCCAATTGCGCTCACCTACGTCCGGAGCTGCACCTGCGTAACTACTCCCGTGCTCTCTCTCCTTCAGCTCAAACCGCGTCTTTTTAATTTACGTAATATGTATGTCTTATATTTCCATCATACAACTCTACTCTGCATACAATTGGTTGGAAAAGGGTAATACAGTCTAGGGAGGGTTGATAACACTGTGGGGGAGATTTGTAAAGGGTAAATATATACGTAAATAATACAAAAACGATGGAACGCAACTACCGCGATAGGAGAGGGATCACTGTAATCAGCATTGAAAGGAACAGTCAGAGTGTTCATGTTTATGTGTGTATTTGAGTGTGTGTGATGTACAGTATGAAGAGCAGGATGGTTGAGTCACTGACTGATCCGGAGAGCGCCCTCCAGACAAAGAATGTGAGTATGACAGATCTCTCCATTTCCTCTTCTGCTTACATGCCAACCCACACAGCTTCAGGACGTGCTGGAGGACACAGTACCAGCTTACGACAAACCTCGTCCCTGCCTCCTGTCCAGCCGCAGCAGCCACTTAGGACTATTAATTACTGCTCTGTTCTCTGCTCCTTACCCGTAGTCATCTGTGTCCTCCTCAGACGAACTAGCTCAGTGGGACCATCATGATTCTTATAGTTTCTGAAAAGTCAGACCTTTTTTTATTGAAATTGCCCACTGGCCTTGCAGGTTTTCTCCGTCTCTTTATGTCTCACTCTCATTGTCTGTGTCTCTCGTCCATATTTCATGCAAAATATGGAAAGAAACTGCCATGTGGTGGCCGAAAGGAGTTAAACTAACCGCAATTTAAACTAGGCCGTGCCTCACAAAGACCAGGTTTTGGTCGCCAGTAAAACTTGATCCAAAAAGAATGTTTCTCACTGAGCTGTTGTTCTGCCTATCACCAGCAGGGAGCACTGTGGGTCTTTAGAAAATTAAAGAGTGCGTTTTTCTTTTGCTATGTTGAGACTTGGTAAAATGAACTTTTTCAACTGAAATAGAAATGATGGCATTAGAATAATATGAAGCCTTGAAAAACTTTTAGGAAGACCTTATTTACTTAAATTATACGTTGACAATTAAAACGAATAAGTAGATTTTTTGTTTTTAAAGAAGAAAGACAAAAGGAGACAAATTATTGATTATTGTTATTTCAGTTTTTGCCATAAACACAGAATCTAATTTTCTACAATGACATTGTATAAAAAGGACCAAAACATTCCACGGAGCACTTAAAAAATGATAATAATAAACCCACAACATAATAATAATAACACAGCTTTGCTGTGATGCCTACTGAAATTTATCCCACAAAAACTCCATCATTTTGACTAGTTGACTAGAGTTGAAGATGGATAGGGATCATAGGCATGTGAGAACACCTTTGAGAAGGCTCTGCCCAGATCTTAATCCTCTCTGCTCATTTGTCTTCATGTCTTTAACCCATTAGTTTGATTCACTACCTCTGGAGTGGAAAATTGAAAGCTCGGGCTGGCACTTGTCTCCACTACAACCGAGTCCACTATATCCCTTTCATGTGGCACTTTATGGCCTGCTGCAGAGGGTCAGGAGGTGTACTATATATAGTATATGTACTGTATATAAATTTAAGAATATAAGTATATGTACGTATGTGTGTGTGTGTGTGAGACAAAAAAAAAGGATGGACAGAGCGGGTCGGTGGGTGTATAGAGAAAGATATAGGGAGATTCAGAGGGTTATTTGTCCTTCTTTCCCACTCTGTGAGCTAGGAATCATGGTCTGCATGACAGGTCGGCAGCCCCCATCGGGGGTGATCTATATGAGACCCTCTTTATTGGCAATTTCAACCAAGGGACAGATGAGACTGCAGCCAGCCAGCCGGACAGCCAGGCTATGATGAAAGTGGCCAGGATTCACCTGTGACTCTCGCACTGAAGGCTAGAGAAATAATACATCAGAGGTGATAAGTGGAGATATGTGCAGTGTAGATGTTTGGGTCGTGTGTGTGCACGTGTGTGTGTGGCGGTAGAAATAATGTATGGTCGCTGTCATGCCCAGAGGTCTCTGTTTAGTATGGAAAGAATCACTGAGTAGTGTTGCAGGCAGATTTGGAATGAGATGCTTTGGTTACTTTACATATTGTTGGAATGTAGGGTAAATAATTCAACTCAGAGCAACAGTCAGGAATCTGTCCATGACTTATTGCTTTTGGCTCCTTTCGAGTAACAAGACTGTTGAACATACGCATTCCATAACAAAGTCTGCACTGAACTGTGATCCGTGTAGAACTGCTTCTGTTTGTGAATGTGGATCAGCGCAGGGCGCTGACAACATTAAAAAGCATTCTAAAACCTTGATGTATTGATGCTGATTGTAATGAAACATTAAAGCCAGTACTTAAATATCACTTTAAGATTCCGACTGTACTAAAGCGCAGCTCCTCTCTCCCGCAGACTATTCTCGACATTCTGCACTGGGGTAGCGCCGATATCACGTTCAGCTCTTCTCTTCCAAGTGAGTGAAACACATTTCCCTTTTTTCAAAGTGTTGAATCGCACAAGGCAAATCACTGGGAAGCATGACAACATTCAAGCTCTGAGCAGACAATATGTCCTCAAGCCATTTCTCCATCCAACGCTCTGCTGAATGAAAGACAGAAGCCTGCACAGTGATGAACACCATGAAATAACCCTGTAATGAACAACTGCTCTCATATAAGAAGGCCTGTTCAACTAGGACCAGCCATTAGACCCGTGCCTCTCTGTTCACTCCAAATTGATTAGTACAGTCTGGGAAGCATTGATCAGAGGTTTGCTTTCAAGTGTTGGTAGGGTGGAGGGGGTGGAGGGAAATAGAGATTCAAGAGCATCAGGCAGGATCAAGGACTGTATTTTGGTCACAGTCATAAGTACCTCAGCACTAGTGTAACCTGTACGTCTGAAATATGCCAATATTTTTCTTCTTTTGTTGATGTTCTGTAAGAGTTCATAAGATGGGACATATTTCTTTCCACTGGGATTCTAAAGATATTATTCAAATGCTTCGTGTTGTCTTCACAGAATGGCATCTCGTGCAGTTTTATCTACATCGTCCGGTGAGAACCTGTAACCTCTGCTTGCTTGTACATCACATATGCTCTGTTCTGTGTTTGCTATTCTCCCACTTAATAAAACTATCAGATTTAGCCAAAGACACAGACACATGCAGCAGGGCTCTGTTTGCAGATAGAGCCAAAGACAATCTCCCACTTACCTGGGGGGACCTGCTAGTTTTAGCCCTTGCGGCTATACAGATCCTCCATCAGCACATCACTGACAGAGAAGTCAGGTCTCTCCCTCACCCAGTATCCCTCTTCCCTCCCACCACCTCCGACCTGTAAACCATTTATCTCGAGATAACTTTGTCAGATTGTCAACCAAACTCTCCGGTGGGAGCCAGGCCCAAAGCCTATTATGTGGGAATCATTGCAGGCCGCGGCTGGTCACTGCTAAATGGATACTCCCTGTGAGCTGCCCGCGCCTTGACTGTATTATTGGGGCTTTTATTCCCTCATCGGCCCAGGACAACCACAGTTACGCCATCAGTAATCAAGTTGGCCAAACTGTGCTGGTTTGCTGATTACATAAAAAGGCTGGTTGTACGTGAACAGATGTAATACTTGTAGAAATGTGAGCATAACTGCATTCACTGCTGTTCTCATTCCTGTCCTCTTTTCTGCCTTTCACACTCTTCTGAAGCAGTATCATTAGTTTGGGTTTTTTGTGTGTGTTAATGTTGCCTTTAACCCCAATGCCTTGTGACAGGTTGCCCAGGCCTTTCTGTGCTATTCTCGTCTAGAAGACCTTGTTCCTGAATAACTTGGCACCTCTAATCACGAGTGCTCTTAATTTATTCTGGGATGCCTTTAAAGTGCCAACATGCTGAGGGCTCCACATGGACGCCTGCAAAACTAAAGGAGCTAACAACAAATATTAAAAGGCGTAAAAAGGGGGTGAACACTATAACATTTATATATCAAAACACCTCACCCTATGATCACCATTTTCTTTTAGATCTACAAGAGATTTGTAGATTTACAAAATCCAGAAAACAAGTTAAATCAGAAACTGTATCTCCACAACTGTTAAATTGTCTGGTTTGCTGAAATCAAGGAAATGCACAATGAGAGTTTACTCTAGGTCTATTTAACACTTGTGGCCGTGTCTGTTGCTTCAAAAGAGCTGGGCTTGATGTGGGTGCACATAGATGCCCACCCATGTCAACTCCCCCACAGTCCTCTCTGTGACACCCCCCTTTAGTAGCGTAATGACCTGGCACTAACAACCTTCATTTGACTCTATCAGGGTCAGTGTCAATGGCTGTAGTTTGAACCAGTGGCTACAAATGGACCCTGCCTTTTTTTTTTCTTTTTAGCTATTTTTTTTATACTTTTTTTCCTACTTCCTTATATATATAGTTATATATTTTTTTTGAAGAAGTACTTCCTACTTTTTCTTTTTACCTAACATTTGCTAGATGATTAACTGTGGCCCACCCTACCACCCCCAAAACAGTCTCCTTTTTAGCTATTTTTTTTATACTTTTTTTCCTACTTCCTTATATATATAGTTATATATTTTTTTTGAAGAAGTACTTCCTACTTTTTCTTTTTACCTAACATTTGCTAGATGATTAACTGTGGCCCACCCTACCACCCCCAAAACAGTCTCTGTGACATTTGTTGAGCAGTGAATTGTAGCTGGTTTGAATGTGATGGGTGCAACTTGACTTGGACTCCCAGCAGGCACGCACCTGTGAGAGACTATGCTTAAGCGTAAACTTGTTAGTCTTCTACTAAATGACATTTTTCTCCTTCACTGTGTATATGATTTACAGTGTTTCCGTTTAATAAATCTGTCTAGCAGAGGTCAGTCTTTACCCACACCTGATATATGGCAACAAATTATCACCTAACGTACAAAAATTCTCCAAACTTTGACTTCCCTAATGAATTGTCAGTTTGTCATGTTATGGGAAAAAAAATATTAACCATTAAACAGTAAATCCACCATTGGATCAATAAATGTACCCAGTGATTTTTGAAGAGTTGATTTGTGCATTGTGCATAACTGTTACTAGGTAGAAATAATCCAAAGATTTTAAATCTTTCCTTTTTTCAGCTCTGTATTCTTTGTAACGTGAGTGATAAGAGACTGAGACACATTCCAACTTTATTGGCCTTTATTGTGGAGGCACGGACACATCACTGGAGAGGTGAGGATGGGGAGGGAAGAGACATGAGGGGAACTGTAAGCCTCTCTGTCGTCCCTGTCTTGTCCATGCTCCACTGTCACTAACTGCACTCTCCTACAAACTAACTAAGCGTCTCATTTCACCGCTGCCTTTCTAGCAGTGCTGACAGCCCACATATCATTAGAAGTCATGAATGCAGCTTCACCTATAAGTAGAGCTGACAGCTGGAGTCCTACCTATAGCTCCTCACCTCCTTCACCTCCTCCGTCTCCTGAGCAGCAGCTTCCGAGAGACAAAGGGAGACTGAAGGACAGTAACAGAAGCGCTGGCCCTAATTGATAGTCAAGTTGGGTCTGAGTGGAGGCGTCAGGGTGGTTAGGTTCAGATTTGGGAATAGATGGTTTTCTGAATGACCTCTTTTCTCATCCCTGTTAGTTTACCTTCTCTGGCTCACCCTCTCTAGTGCAGCCTCACACTTGTTTTAATTGTCGTTTTATATTTATCTCTGTTCATATATTTATATTTTATTTAATTCCTTTAGTTTTCACCAAATCTAACATTTGTAGCATTGATGTTCACAAAGATGATCATGTGTACAGGAGCTTCATGCATCATAAATACATACTCCAAACATACCTGATTTAAATGTTGCTGCTTAGTTTTTTTAAAATAAAAATCTTAAATTTATTTCACAGTTTTTTCTAATTAGAATTTTGTAATTTGGAACTTAACTGGTGCATACTGAGCCATAGCCCTTATGCTCAAAAATAAATTTAAAAATTTTAAAAGTAGGCCATCTCGTTGAAGCATTTTTGCAATCTTGAGCATCTCATTTTGCAGAATAAATGTTGGTTTTCAACAGTAAAACAAATACACAATTCTGTGGTAAAAAGCAGAAAAAATGTGATGGACGGAGAAGATAAGAGAATGACAGCAGAGGAGGCGCAGGGTGAAAATGTAAGTGCACTTTTTACAGCGCACCCCAGGAGGTCACGTAAACCGCAGACATTTATGTGCATGTGTCAACCTTGAAGCCCCGATAATGGGAGGACGACTCAGAGGAGGTTTCCCTGAGCTGCCTGGTCGGCCCAAAACACAGCGCTAGCACACGACGAGCAGGGAAATGCCAGAGATTGGAAGACGGGTACGGAGGGCGGGGGTTGGGAGCCGTGGAGTGATTAGAGCAATTACTTGTCAAGTGTTTGTCACAGTCAATCACATCTGCCTTTATTGTCTGTGCAGAGACAGGCGGGGAGAACGGGGCTACCCTCAGACCTGGCCGACTGCAGCCCTCGCTGAGGGTGTGTGTGTGTGTGTTTATGTGTAGCTAGTGACGTTTGGTAATGTGAAACTGCCATATCTGGACAATGTTCAGAGTATTATATGTAAGTAATGACTCACAATGGAAGGCTTTAGAGTGCCGCCTCCGTGAATGGTTAGTGATTGGCTGGGTTGTTAGATGGGATAGAAGCAAATGATAGAGAAATGTGAACATAATTGTAAAGAAAACACAGAAATATATGTAGAGGTCATGAGGTCTCAGGGTTGACAGGGACAGTAATGATTGCCAAGGCAGGATTGTCTGATGCAATTTCTTCTTAAATGTTCCCATAACAATGAATGGTATTAAACCCTGTTGAAGCTCAGCTTGAATTGACCTCTAGGAGGCAGTATTTTTCTTGTATTACAGATGCTGTTAGGAATGAATTTATTGGATCTATGAGAAGTTGAAAGGTGTGAAGGCTTGCAGTGACATTGGTTTTTGCGTTGACTCTGTGTAATTTTTCTTCCGCACAAAAATGGTACACTGTTGTCCTTTAAATTGTTAATTGTAGCTGATGTTTATAAATTTTTTTTCACCACATATCATCAAATTGTGCAAGAAAAAACATATTTGTTTGTTTTTTAACAACCAAGTGAAGTAAACTACTACTGCCCTTGAAAACAGGACATGACCACCAGTTCAGTGTGAGACCAGTTTTTCCATCCGTTTACTTTGTGGTTTTCCTGTATCTCTAGCCTTTATCCCACCTTTGGCTTTACTAAATTCAGAGCTGTGACACCAAGTGGATGCTTTTGGCAGCACAGTATTGTTCTGGAGGACTGGTTCGCCCTGCAGATCCCCTGTTGCATGAACCTTTAGCCGCACAGCTTGGAGATCAGCGCCGCTGACCTGCGTTGTTGCTGAGTCTCATGTACTTGGACTCTTCTGTGTGCATTGCTGTCTTTTTGTACCTCTCATGTTTCTCTCAGTCCTGCCTGACCTTTGCCTTATGTGCTGGAAGTGTACAATCATGTTATTTCAGTGTTGGGTTGGAACTAGTTTCAAGGTCTGTCTGAATCCCTGGTAATAGTTTTTTTTTTTTCTCCCGCAACTATTTATATAAGTAGCCCCCATGTCAGTCTTAGCAAACAAGAAGAGAGATGATAGAATGTCAGAGCAGGTCCAGCTTCAGTAAATGTACTATTCAAATAACATGAAGTATATTTATGTCAGTTATGATACTGTAGTATGAGGAGGAAGTGTTTACATTTATACCACATTGTTCATTGCTACAAGTATATTTTATAATAATTTGAAAATTAATAATTATAGAAAACTATAATGTAAGTCATTTTAAACTCTTTATTAGATGACAATGTTCATTCAAAAGCATA